TAAGATAGTCAGCGTTCCACCCACCATGGTTCCACTGTTCGCCGCCAGGGCTAACTCATGGCGTTCACCGAATATGCCCGTCACAGCGGACAGGCTTGTGCCGCGCACGCCTTTGCGGCGCCTTTGATACAACACCCACTGATCCCTCGTCAGAGATGTAAAGACGTTCATGCACCCCCTGGCTTCGTCTTCTGCGATAGGATGCCTGGGAGATCCATCAAGACGGGTACTCGTCATTCATATAGGGATGTTGTGGAGTAAGCGGCGCGTTCCCAAAGGTGCACCCGTCGGCGCGCACGGCTGTCTGCCCACCTGCATTGACCATCAGCACCGCGTGAAGCATGTCATGCTCAGATATGGCACTGGCACCGCTGGTCCTGCGCGCGCGTAGCGGGCATCCCTGCGCACTGCCATGTGGCGCGCGAAGCCAGCGCGTGCTTCTTTCAATGGATTTCTCTATACGCCTCAGGCATGCCTCATTGGCAAGCAACCCTGCTGGCGTCGCTTCGGCAAGCGCCCCTGCAGTAGCTGCCGATTCGGCTACCAGAGGCATTTGCACTTCAGCGGCTGGCATCGCGGATGTTGGACCCTGCCAAACAAAAATAAGAGGATAAAGCAGGTTGCCCCGCAGATGCAGCCAGTGGCTCTGCAGCAGCTGCAGCGCCTGTCATCATCGCCGCGATGCGGTTCAGCTCTTCGCGGAGGTATCTGAATTCATTTCCCCCTGCAGAGTATTTCTTCATGTCGACCCGCTGCTACAAATTGCGCATGGCGCCTCGCTTCTTGCACCCTCCAGCTGTCGATCCATGCGTGCGCCGCGTGACCCTTGCACTGCGCATGCACTAGATGGCCGCGCTGAAGCCTCCACACCTTGTCGTGGCATACAAACTCTCCAGGCATATGGCGCATTTGGTAACATTGCCGTCGTGCATGATCGGTGGCGTTGCCGATGGCCTGAAACGCGCCTGTCGATCAAGCGTGGGTTTTCCCATCTCATATTCTCAAGTTCTGCGGGGAAGCCCGCCCGACGTACTTCTTGCGCCCAAGCGGCGGACGCAGCAACCCAGGCATCATGCGCCCGGAATCCGCGCACTCGCGGGTAACGGTTCTGAGCAAACCGGGAGCGCCATGCTACTTCATCCGCGGTGCGCAGCCGGGCAAGCGCCCCGAAAGTACAACACCCTGGTCTGTCTTGCCGCAGTGAGGACACTGTCAAAGGGAAGGGCAGGCAGGTGATTCACTGATGCCCATACTTACCTTTGGACAGGCGGATCCAATCATGCCTGCGGACGGAGTCCGAAGCTTTGATCGTGGTGAACCTCGAGAATCTCATTCGTAACAACATCCCGGTTTGGCGATCTGCTAGCGACGTCATCATGGCGTCTGGCATCCGCGGCAGGATTGCGCCGAGCCACGCTGTCCAATTTACTGACATCAAGCCTAACAGCGTCCGATGCGAATGAGATCGAGTTGGACGGGCGCGGGTCATCTTGAAGACAACCAGCCGGGCAACCTGCATGATTCCACTCCTGTGCCAAAGGAACGCCGTGAGTACCCATGCGATGCTTCGACGCTGAAAGGATGGATTGTGCCTGGGACTCCCTGCAACCTCAAGGCCCCTGTCTCAGCACCTGCGTCGGGGGCGGAACATGCCTGTGCATCCACGATGCCAGAGGCGCATCAGGCGGGGGCGCCTGCGGGAGGCTCGGATGGGTTATGGGCCCAAGCCTAGAGTTCTGACCTGTCTGGCATGACGCGCCTAACGCTGGACCTGCGTGGGCCATGGCCCCAGCGGAGTCAAGCCTGACGACGGATTGCGCGCGAGCGATCCGCGGCGCAACCAAGTGCAGCAGTTGCCGGCACCTGCGGGGTCACTCCGCTGAGGTAGGGCACAGCCAGTGATCGATATGCCCTGTGCCGGACTCGGAGGCACCCCTTGATGACGGCCAAGTGATGGCCGCGCCAGTGCTCGCGTCTTTCTGGCGGCCAATGTTCCAGCAAGTCCCCGAAACCCACCCAAACGTCAACCTCGTTGCGCGAGGTGACGCAGCTGATGAACCGGTCGGAGAGCCTGTCGCGGTGAAATGGCTTGCGCCGCGCGGCCGTGGAAAGCCACTCCGAGCAACACCGCGCACCGCATTCGCTCGGGAACCTCGCGCGGATACGCTCATCATGCAATATCTGCACTAAGCACTCCTCCTCGAATTCGAAGCTCAGGGCAGGCTCTTGCCGCAAAATGTTGCGGGCACGCCGGTGGCCAAGAGCATCTTTATCAGCGCATTTGGCGGCGCACTCTACATTGCATTGTACCACCCCGTCACTGCAAAGGCCAGAGCCGTCAGGGGCATGGGGCCTGTCCATCATCTGGTTGCTGGTTCCTAGGGCCCCCGAGAATCGCCTGCTTGCATCTGCCAGTTCAAGGGGGGCGGCAGGTTGCCCCGCGGGGGCAGCGGCCTGCAGGAGCAGCGGCTAGTTTAGCAGGCGCCCCTGCAGGGGTCGTAGTCGCGGCGGGCGCTGCAGAGGAGCTCGCACTCCCAGGTGCCTTTTTCTTTTCGCGGATGTCGCGGCATCGCCATCCGGCGATATTTGGAGCAGCCCCTGCGCCTTCGATGTAGTCCGCAGCACCCTCTCCCCCGCATCTCGCTGCCAGGAGGCCCCCCTGGTTGCGCCGCCCAAGGATGGCGCCCAGCCAATTGCCCTGCCAAGGATGGCCGCGCAGCTGCGCGGGGTCCTGCGGCGCGGGCGCGCTGCTGCATTGGAACGCTGATGCTGCCGCAGCCACTGCCGGCCACTATGGAGCGCCGCCTGCAAGCAAGTTTCCCCGCGGACCTTTGCGACTCATTGCTTCCAGGGTCAGCTTCCGCTGAACGGGCCCTCTTCTTGCGTTTAAGCGATGGGGGGATTGGTGACCTTGGCGTACTTGGCGATGTGGATAGATCGACGTCCTTCTCAGATCGCTTCTTCGGAGGATTCGGGACCCTGGGCGGTTCTTCAGCGGATGCCCCACGTTTGTAAATGCCGCAGGTTCCCCCGCATCCCACGATGGGGATCTCTCCAGGGCAGGATTCCTTTGACATGTATAATGACGCGTTCTTGATATTAGCCCTGTTCTCGATTGACAACTGATAGTGTCCATCGTCCAGCTCACGCACCAATGTCTCTGACATGATATGACACCAGTGTACCAGGCGCTAAGTCCACGTCCTTCGTCACAGGTTGAGTGATGCCCAAGTCCGCATCAGTTGACTCACTGCTACAGGTATATTCTAAATCGCGAGCAGCAGCAGCAGGGCCAAGCGCTTCAGCATGGACAGGGCCGCCAGCCCTTGCATCGTCCATCAGAGGGCCAGCACCTCCATGAGAAGGAGAAGAAGCGGATTGCCCTGCACGCGATGCCTCAGCCAACTTTTCATGACATCCTCGATTGCATCTCTTGAGGCGGTGATTGTTGTCGAGGGTCTTCCACTTCGCTCGATGAAATTCGCCTCGCATTCGGCAATCGGCTGGCAATCGGCTCTGGTCAAGCATGGTACAGGGGGTTTTGTCGGATCTACCTTGTGACCCAAACCATCTCCATAAGACCAGGCCCGCAGTGTTTCCTCAAAAATAGGGCCCCCTGACGGACGGCCCATGGGACACGCGCGTCTGCGGTCTGCAACATGTTCACACTTACAGACCACGCGCCGGCATTCTGCTCGGCCCTTGCGAGCGGCCCTTTCTAAATCCCTTCATGCAAGCGCGGGGGCCGACTTTGCACCGAAACCTCTGTTCGCGCGGACGATATCACCACCATGGCCCCGCGAAATATTGCAAAGTGAGCGCCAGTGGCCGATATCGCGTTCGGCCCGGCCTTCGTCGAACCAGCAACGCACGGTTGCTGGTGAGATTTATATTGGCGAGCCAGCCCATGATCTCCGTAGCTGACGAGACGCTGCGCGCCTGGGCCTCCGGGCCCGCCGCGCCGACCCTCGCCCCGAGGGGGGCCCCCCCGCGAGCGCCCCCTTCTAGGCGGAGTCCCCGGGGCCCTCGCGCCAGGAGGGCGCGGGCGCTGCGCGCCGCTAGAACGGGAACGCGAGCGCCCGCGCGAATGACTCCGACCACGGCGCCGCGGGCGATGACCCTCAGCTCCCCGTTCGTCTTCGTCGTCATCTTTACGACGCACCCGTCTCCAAACTGGGCGGCTCGTAGACCGGTCGCGCATCGCGAACGCGAAGCGATGGCCTTAGCCACCCCCATGCCCGCATTGGATGCGTTCGGAAAGGTCACCAGCGCACAGAGGGTCGTCGCCGTACGTTTCTCCGTATATCGGATTACCAATGACCTGCGGATGGGGCATCAATTGCAGCCCCTCCTCTGTCGCTGGTGCCGTAGCATCGAAATCCTCAACGAACTCAATATGCAAGTTGCCCCACAATGGGAATGCCCAACCAGTCCGCCAGGTTGATCTCGTCGCGGCCAACGTAGCAAGAGCTCGTCGGCGCATCTCTCGAGGGACACGCTGGCGCCTAGGTATCTGGCGGCCGCGGGGGTGTCTTCGGTTTCGGCTAAGAGAGCCCCCCTATCGACACACAGAATATCCGAATCGGTTTGGGCCGAATGCATCGACGGACCCCTGCCTCTCTCATCGCCCCGGGGGCGCTCGCGACGAAAATGTTGCGTGACGCGGCAGATGCCACATTCCATGGTTTTGCCATTGGCATCTTTCGGTTTACCCCGACGCCTCTTACCCTTTCCTGAGGTGCGCCTACGGCCTCTGCCTGCCCTCGGGAATATTCACGCGCATTGTGGCCCGGGAAGGGATGCCAAGAATGCCAAGCTACCTCTGCCATGTAGTCGCCGTCGTTTGCCTTTACCTTGCCTCGACCCTTACCCTTTGCTCTGAACGCCCGTCGGAAAGTGCGTCGTATATTGCGAAATGGTTTCTTCACTAAGCGTCCCCAACGAAATTTGTGCGTCTGGTATCCTAGAAATAGCCATTGCGCCCTTTGCTCCTCTGTGAGATACGCAAGCATGTCGGGACCCGGCCCTGCCTTCCTGGGCGCGGCCCTGCCCGCCGTCTACCCGGACTGCTCTGGCCTCAACGGCGTCATGGACCAGCTGCTGCACGAGACCGAGTCCGCCTCTGGGACCTTCGGCGAGCCGAAGTACCACCTGAGCAACGCCGGGCCTGCGACCCAGAGCCAGACAGTCGAGGTCGCGGCGCATGGGGAGGTCGACGAGGCGAACAGCGGGTTCGACAGCATCTACACGGAGAAGTTGGACTACTGGTGCAACGCCTCTTGCCCGACCGAGGCCCAGTTCTTACACGAGAGCTTGGGGTCCGCTCTCGCCCAGGCGCCGCGGGATGACGCCTATGCATGCTCATTTTGCTCTGTCCGTATCGTCATCTTCCCTTCCTCCTGCCCCCCTCCTCCAATCCTGAATTCGGGGAGTTCGGGGGCGGTCGTGGTAATGGCGCGGCGCCCTCGAGCCTCACGGAGGCAGCGCCTCCCTCTGTCTCCAGCCCCCTCTCCTCCCGAATTCGCTGAGCAGACTCTCCGCTCCCCTTGCTCTCCGCACCACTCTTCTAGTTGCTTGCCTGCTTGCCTGCTCCCCCGCCGACCCCCACGACCCCAGACACCTGTGCGTCCTCGGCTGCCAGACGACCGACTCCCCCACGAAGCCCACGCACGTGTCCGACCAGGGCCCTCCCCCACCCCGACGCCGCACCCGACGTCCAATCCCTGCCCGACGCTCTACCCGACGCCCCGCAACAGCACGACGACATACCCGACGCCCCACCCCAGCATGATGCCTTTCCCGACGACCCACCCCAGCCCGACGCCCTACCCCCGCCCGACGCCCTGCCCGACGCCGCTCCCCAGCCCGACGCCGTGCCCGACGCCCTGGTCCTGCGCGACTCCGCACTCGACGCCCTTCCCCCGCCCGACGCCCTACCTGACGCCGTGCCCCGGCACTACGCCCTCCTCGGCGGTGCACCACAGCGCGACGCCCTACACGGCCGCTGGTGGCCAATACTGCAACGTCGACCCCTGCGAAGTGTTGGCTGCGCCGGGCATTCGCCCCGTCGCCTTGGACGAGACGGAGCCGGAGGTCATGCCCGGCAGCCGCCCAGGAGCTGCAGCTGCGCCCGCGCCCTGCCCGTCCCGTCCGCCTTCGTGGATTCGGGGAGAGTCCGAATGCGATTGGGGTCGTGGGCCCCGGGGCTTACTTTCTCCCACCCTCCGATGCCTCCCCACCCCTTCCACGGGGTTGGGACCCTCACCCCCCTTGCACCCCTACCCTCCCCGTCCCTTGCTCTCCTGTCCTCCCAGCTTTTGCTCTCTCCTCCGGCCTGCCCCTTGCCCGTCCCCGCGCCAACAGGATGGCTGGATCCTGGGGTCCGGTAGCGTGTTTGTTTTCTCTCTCAATAGGGCTGCCCTACCTGAGGAGCCCGCCGCCCCCTCGCTGGCGCTGCGCGCCGTGCTGGTGCCGCACGCGGAGGTCGATCGGGTCCGCCTGAACGGGACCGCCCCCTGGCTCCAGACCGGCCTGGCCATGGACCGCGTCGGCAGCACCGGGGCATCTTTCGACGCCCTGGGGACGACGGCGCACGACTCGGCAGCCGAGGTCATCACTTCGGTCGACGCGCTGCAGGTCCACTACGCAGACGGCGGCCACTCCCTGGAGGACGACGCCGTCGTGATGGGGCAGTTGTTGCACATCACCCCCTGGGGTTCGAGCCCCGTGAAGCCCCGGATCGGATGCTACGCGGACCCCTCCGACCCGCACCAGCTGAAGGAGACCCACTTCATGAGCGTCAGCGCTGATGAGTCCAGTTCCACGCTGTTCGCGGACATCGGAGACACCATCGATCCTTCTGAGGCGCCTGGGCTGCTGCCAGGCTCGTCGCCGACTCCGTCGAGGGCGTTGCTGCGCGCCCCGCCGCGGAACGGCGAGAGGGGCGAGCCCGCGCTGCTGGGGGGCTCATCGCAGACCTGTGCGAGGACGCCAGGGTCGATGCCAACCCTGGGAAACTGGAGTGCCCTTCCCTGGCACTCGTCATCTTCCACTGGGCTATCCGAGACACCTCTGGGGGGCCGAGGGCGCGCTGAATCGGGGGCGGCCGGACGGCCCAAAAAGTGGCCCTTGTTTTCGGTCCCCATGGGGTCCCGGGGGCAGAAACTGGCCCCAGTTTTTGGTGGGTCCAAGGCGGCCTCCCCCCGCCAGAGGAGGGTGGGCAAGTGGGGGACGCGCCTTGTCCCTTCCCGGACTTGCCCCCGGGCCGTCCTGGCGGGATTCGGACCGCCCTCGGGTCAGTCCGAGCGCTCGTGCCCAGCTGCCCGCGCCGCCCCTGGGAGTCGACAGTCCTTTCGAGGACTCCGCTCTAGGTGGGGCCACGTCCCGTGCTACAGATCCCCATGGGGTCACGGCACTCGGACCTGGCGGGGCCTGGACCCTTCCGGCACCTTTTTCCCACCTGGTCTGCTCTTTTGCCCCCTCCTAGGTTTTGATCCCCTTCCAGGTTCCCTGCAGGACCGTGCCGCCACTCTGCCGACGTGGCTCGACGCCCTCCGGAAGGAAGGGTTCTTGGGCTCCCCCATCGACCTCCAGAACGAGTTGGTCTGCATCCTGGAGCTTTTCGAGTACCCGCCGATGCGGCGGCCTGGCACCCAGGTCTGCGACAGCGGCCCGCCTGGGCAGCACACGAGCTCGGCGGAGCTGTACTTCCACTCCCACCTCCGCAGCTGCGCCGCGAGCGCTTCTGGAGCTTCCAGCACGTCGTCCAGCCCCCTCGGCGATGGCATGCCCCAGGCTGGGTGGCCGCAGTGGCCAGCGGCGACCGCAGCTCCGATGAGCAGGATCCAACGCGTGTTTTGGCAGCCGACGTCGACCACCCTGGACGTGGCGTACTTCTGCGTGCGCACCCTGCCGGACCGGCTCGTCGACGCCATGAATTGGGCCCCTCCGGCGTTCGCCGGCGCATGCTTGGCCGAGTACCTCCACGCCGTCTTGGGCCAGACGATTCCCAGCGCGATCCATCCGGTCCTGGTGATGGCGGCCTCCTGTGTGCCTTCGGCGCCCGTGAAATTCCTCGTGGTCGGTGCGGCCTTGCATGGAGCTCCTCTTCAGCGTGCTCTTGCCGGAGCGTGCGGTGCCGCTTTAGTCGGGAATGTGCATTTCTCGCAGCCCGTCTGCACGTCCATCACAGTGGCGATCACCACGGCGCTGAGTCCAGGCTGGTACTCCACATGTTTGTCGCCTCCGGCAGCCTGGGGAGGACATGTGGCCTTGCTTATCCGGGCCGTGCTGTCGCCCGCTTTCCCCGCAGGCTCCGATTCGGATGTTTGCGGCACGTGTCTCTTCGAACGCCAGCGCTGCACGTGCCGCCGTGGAGGAGGGGGCCGCCAGCCAGGACCTCCCCCAGCAGCAACGCCCGCAGCAGCGAGGCCCGCAGCCGCTCCCCTCTACAGGAGCCCCAATTGCAGCCACCCGCAGCTTCCGCGAGCTCCCCCTCGTCAGGGTTGGCGCCAGCGGCTGCCCCGCCCTCTGGCCACGACGTTACCGTCCGCAACACGTTCGCGGAGGCCAGTCCTGCCCGGGGGTCCCCGGGGCGCCGACTCAGGAGGAACCTCACCGAGGGCAACGACCCTGACCTGGATTCCTTGGAAGGGAGGCTGAGCGAAGTGGCCATCGACCTTGAGCGGAACATGCACGTTGACGCGGGCGTCCCCCTGCCGGAGCTCCGCCGCTCGGCCGCTCTGGCTGCCGCTGGCCCAGGCGCGGTGGCCGCCGCTGCCTCGGACCAGCCGCCCGCGGCTGCTCCGCCGGCGGCGCCTGGTCCGGCCGCCGCGGCCGGGGCTCCCGCTGCGGAGCCCACGGCTGCTCCGCGGGCGGCCGCGTCGTCGGGAGGCGCCCCGCCAGCCGCCGAGCCCCCGCCTCCGCAGCAGCACGCGGGAGCCGCCGCGGCAGCCCCGCCTCCGCCGGTTGCACCCGGGGGCCCCGACTTCGTTCGGCGCGTGCGCCCGCGCACGCGGGTCTTCTGCCCCGTCCCAGGGTGTCCGCGCGCAGACCCGGCGGCCACCGCAGGGTGGGCTGACCACCAGACCATGCGGCAGCATCTGAATGAACACGCTGCTGGGCGTTTCCCTGGCCTTCCCCCAGTGCCGCAAGATTACTTGGACGAGCACCGCCTGGGCCAGTGCTCGGTGTGCCAACGTTTCTTGGCCAACCGTTACAATGGCATCTGCCCCCGTTGCCGCCCCGCGGCCCGGGCGGCGGCCGCCGGGGCCGCCCCGGCCGCTGACGGCGCCGCGCCGCGACCTCCGGAACTCCCTTCCTTGGAGGAGGTTTTCGCCAGGCGCGCGGGCACCAAACGGTACGTGCCCAAGGGCGCCCGCGCGCTGTGGGCGCGGTGCCTGGTCCAGGCGACGGCGCTTGCCACCCACGCCAACAACGAGGCTGCTTGGATCCAGCTGGCCATGCTGCCGAAGTGCGTGCTTCGGCCGCACGCCCGCGGCGGCCGCGGCAGCCGGAACGCCGCTGAGGCCGAAACGAAGGAGCTTTGCAGGCGCTGGCTAGAGGGAGAACGCGCCTCTCTGTGGGCCGAGACAACAGAACGACGCGACGGGAAGAAGCAGCGCTCCCAGGCCGCGCAGCGCGCCCACCGGTGTTTGGAACTCGCGGCCGACGCGCAGTACTCGAAAAGCTGCGCCGCTCTCGTGAGCGAGCCACCTGTCGACGTGACCCCGGCGGTCGTCGACCAGATGCGCCGCAAGCACCCTCGCAGCAGCCGGGCGGTGGACTTCACCACCCTGCCCCCGGTGCACGCCGCGGCGGCCCTGCAGGTGGACGCGGCCGCTGTGGAGCGGGAGGTGCGGGCCTTCCCCCGCGGGTCTGCGGCGGGGCCAACGGGGCTGCGACCCCAGCACCTCAAGGACGGCTTGCAGACGGCGGCACACAGGGACGAAGTCCTGCAGCAGCTCCACAGCCTGACCAACCTGCTTGCCCGGGGCCAAGCGCCCCCCGCTGCTGCGAAGCTCTTCGCGGGTGCCTCGCTGGCGGCCCTCCCAAAGAAAGACGGCGGTCTGCGGCCGGTCGCCGTCGGGGAGACGCTGCGCCGCCTGGTGGGCAAGTGCCTCTGCGGCGAGGTATCAGATGCAGCGCGCGCGCGGCTGGCGCCTCTGCAGCTCGGAGTGGCGGTGCCCGGGGGCACGGAGGCCGCAGTCCACGTCTCGCGGCAATGGTGGACCAGGAACCAGGGCGACCGCCAGAAGGTTTTCGTGAAACTAGACTTATCGAACGCCTTCAACACGCTGGACAGGCAGGCGTTTCTGCGAGCAGTTCGCGAAGATTTCCCTGGCCTTGCCCCCTTCGTAGACTGGTGTTATGGCGCCCCGAGCCTGCTGTTTCTGGGAAAGAAGACCCTACGGTCCGAACGCGGCGTCCAGCAAGGCGACCCACTCGGCCCCCTGCTCTTCGCACTCGCCCTGCAGCGCTGCGCGGAGG